TGCAATTTTTATCCTCGCACTTAATATTCTACCACAAGCACTTTTTCATGTTAGCACGCAATCTTTATAGCCCAACATTTTAACAGATGCACCTATTACTTCATTGAACAGATTCAACATATTCTACTTAAACACTACACTATTGTTGGAAATTTTTCACTATTAGAAATAACGCCCTGGGGCGCCCGGATGGCTCAGTTGGTTAAGCATGTGACTCTTGGTTTCGGCTGAGCTCATGATCTCGCATTTCATGGGTTTGAGCCCCACATCAAGTTCTGTGCTGACAATGCAGAGCCTACTTGGGATTCTCTCTCTCTCTCCCCCTTTCTCTCTGCCCTTCCCCTGTTTGTCCCCCCCACCTCAAAAATAAATATACTTAAAATTTTTTAATAAAAAAAAAAAGATATAACACTCCAAACTGAGCCTTTGAGAAATCTCTGTATTTTCAAAGTGGCATTATTACTTTCCCAGTAGGCACGAAATCTCTTTCTCATTCCCAAGTGTTTGCTTTTTGTTGCTCTCAGATGGGTTAATTTCTCATTACTGATGGTACATATAAGAGCTGACAGTTTTGTATTTCTTTTGTACATACTATTTTATACATAATCACTTTATGGAATCATTAATTCTGGTAAGTTTTCATTTGTTTCCCTTAGGCTTCCTAGATACATGATCATATAATCTACAATTCATGATTTTTACTTTCTTCTCTCCAAATTTTGGTTCATATTTTAATGTACTGATCAAAGCTTTGTGAACATATAAGAATCGTAGTAACAGAGACATTTAGCCTAGTATTTAAGGTGCTGTTTTGAATGAGAGGTCACCTTGATAAAGCACTGTAATTCCAACTGTACTTTTAGATTTTAAGTTTTTAAAGTTTACTTCCTTATTTTGAGAGAGTAAGCGAGCAAGAACAGGGGAGGCACAGAGAGACAGGAGAGGGAGAGAATCCCAAGCGGACTCCGCGTGTTGTCAGTACGGAGCCTAATGTGGGGCTCAAACCCACAAACCATGAGATCATAACCTGAGCTGAAACCAAGAGCCGGACGCTTAACCGACTAAGCCACTCAGGCACCCCTTTAATTTCTTTTTAATATTAATTAGGATAATTATATAGCTTTATTTAATCTATTTCTATATTAAACTCTTCCTTAATTCCTGTGATAAATTCAACTTTCTTTTAAATCTACTAACATTCACTGATATTCTTTATACTCACAAGAAAGGTTGGTCCTTACATCTTCATTGTCCCACACAGGAGCCACTAGCCACATGTGGCTATTGAGCCCCTGAAGTGTGGCTGCTGTGAACTGATACATGCTAGGGGTGTAAAATAGTCACCATATTTCAAAAACTTCATTGCAAAAAAGAGGAACATATTTTAATAGTATTTTATATTGATTACCTGTTGAGATATTAATATTTTGAAAATACTAATTAAATATAGTACTATAAAATAATTCCATTTGTTTCTTTGTACTTCTTAAAATGTGGGTACTTGAAAAGTTTGAATTATACATGTAGCTGGTATGTATCTACTGGGTAGGACTGGTCTGTACAAAGTATCTCAAGTTTCCATATCAAGGTTGGATTTGCTTCAGAGAGTCAAGTGAGTTGTTGTATAGGATCTTTTTACAATCTGGAGCATTTCCTATAAAATAGGATTATATGGGCCTTGACAGCTTTAAGGGATTCATCTAGATTCAACAACCTCCTACTTTTAAGTTACAAGTCTGCTCTGATATTCTTTTATAAGGGATAAAGCCTTAAATGCCAGTCACTGTCAGGAATGGATAACCCATATTACATACTAGATTAAATCAAAGACCTCCTGATAGCATTTCAGAATTTAGTATAAAAGAGGTACAAATGTTCTTCACTTCCTGACTGGTTTTTCTTTGTTTTGGAGGCTATGTGAAGATATTCCTCTTTACATCAAGGTATGACTAATACACCTTTGTGTACATGTGTCTAACCATGAGCAGGAAATATTCGCGCTGCTCTTCTGCTCGTTAGAAAAACACATGAGAAAAAAATAACTCCTCAGAAACCAGATGATATTACTAGCCTTGGTCATTAACGAACCTGTCTGGAAAGGAGGGAGATGGGTGTGTGGGAAGACTGCAGGGAGGAGGCAAAGGTTCAAAGCCACTCTGACACCGGAGGGCAGCTGTCCGCACAGGCCAGTGTGGGCACAGCGGCCACAGCCCATGGTCCCCGCAGGAGGATGGCCAAGTCCCACGGCAAGCACTGACATGAATATATTCCCCCCAAAGCTATTACACCCAGAGTCTTTTCCCTTTTATTAGTTTTTAACATAAAGTTGATAACCACCTAGCTACCTCCACACTTATTAGCTGAATGACCTTGGGCGTGTTACTTAATTACTCAGTAACTCCATTTCTTCATCTGTAAAATGGGGAAAATAAAAAGCTCTGCTTTAGGCTTTGAGAATTAAATGATAGGGGATGCAAAGCTACGGATGAAGTGCCTGGCACACAGTAAGCACCCAATAAATGTATACCATGAAAATAATAGCGTATACTCATTAGCTTCTAGCAAATGTGAACTGTAAGATCACTAGCGAAGTTTTTCATCTACTAATAAGTGGCTTGTCAACCACAGGACCAGCCAGTATCAATTAAGGAACAGCAAAGCATGTGTTCATTAACACATAAGCAAAAACTGGGTCACTCTGACACTACTGAATCCCTCAATCACCATCAAAGCCTGAAGAAATTCAGGTTGTAGCCAATACCTCAAAGTGATCATCACAGAGACAGTCTTTGGGGCAGTTTTCCAAGAGATGCACGCAGGAAGTTCACTCCTTTCCTGGTGCTTCCCATCCATTACAGGTTAGGTAGCTGCCTGTGACTCTCCATTCCCAGGCTCCATCCCTGTCTCGGCTCAGGGCAATGCCAAGTGATCAAGGTCATTCCTGGCAGGGTCGAGGTGAGGAGGCAGCCCCACATCTGCTCCCTAAGCCTCCTAGCCTTCCCTGGAGAGTTAGAGCCCCACCCACTCTCAAAGATCCCCATCTATTTCTCATTGTGGAATCTCTATCCATCCACCTTTGTAACTAATGTTTCATGAAAGAGAACTGAAAACCCGAATACCAATAATTCTCACCCATGAGACCTTTGTCTTTCTTGAGGAGTCGGGAAAGGGAGATAAGAAGGACTATAGGTATAAGCAAAAACCATTAGAAAATCTCAAAATGGTGGTGTGCTTACTTCAAGGACAAAAGGTAGGGAAGAGGTTATAAGGGTTTCTACAGTGAGCCAAAAAGGACACACCTGCTGGAAAGAAGAGGAAAGGGTGGAAGAAAGGAAAGCAGGCAAACTGGTGCATGGGAACGAACGAAGAAGAAAGAGACGACATGAATTTTACTCCAGGACCACCTCTTCCTGCCTCTACTTTCTCCTCTTGCACAGACTACCGTGCCTGGCTAAGCCCTTTGCCCCATTCCTTTCCTCGTCAAGCTCTTTCCCAAGGATTTAAAAGTGGTGGAATCTGTTACCCCACAGACCGACCAGGCAGGAATGGGAGGTGGGAATGGGCAAGGGGAGAATCCCAAGCCCACTAGCCAGACCCACATCGGGAGGGAATGCTTTCCTGGCAAATCTGAACTGCCTTGGAAACCTGAGTTGACTTCTCCAGAGAACACCGGTATTTATGGTGGCAGGGGACCACAAGACATAGGAGGAGCTAAGACATAGGCTTATTGGCGGCAGGTCTGGAAAACCACCCAGAGTGCATTTAGCGTTGCTTTTTTAAAAAATGGAAATGTACTCTGGGATTCTAAAGAAGTTCAAATAAATTTCCGGAATAGTGAGCATATTAGAAATAGCATACATATTCCAATGCACTAAGTAATATGTAAATATAGTTATAAATTAAGAGTCAAGGAACTTGCCATGGATTGGAGAAACACGATCCCTTCACCCAAGCAAACTTGATTAACAAACTTACAGTATATGTAAGGATGAATCCTACATGACAAGATCTGGGCACTCCAAGGACAGAACATCTGTGGGACATAGCACTCAGGGGTACTTTCATTAATGGAATGAGACTTCAGCTCAAAATACTATGTGTTTCTCCAAAAGAACAGTAAAGATTTGCATTGTTAGGCAGAGCAGAAAATTCTCCCTTCACCCCATTACTTCCATAAAATATAAGAATGTTCTTATATTTACAATTTGGTTCATTTTGTTTTTGTTGCATTAAAATCAATAAGTGATCCAAGACCAGCACTCAGTTTTCAAGACCTGGTATCTGTTCAACATACAGTTGACACTTGAACAACAGAGGTTTGAACTGTGTGGGTCCACTTGCACATGGACTGTTTACAGTATAGGACTACAAATGTATTTTCTCGTCCTGACGATTTTAATACCCTTTTCTTTTCTCTATCTTAATTTACTGAAACAATACAGCACACACTACTTTTAAAAAATGTGTGTGGACTGTTTCTGTTATTGGTGATGCTTCCAGTCACTATTAGTAGTTAAGTTTTTGGAGAGTCAAAAGTTGTAGTTGGATTTTCAGCAGGGGAGGGGGGGGTGGAGCTTTGACCCCACCCCCACCCCTCCTCCCACACTGTTCAAGGCCCAACTTTATAAGATTTTTTTTCCTTTGGAAAAAATATTTTAGGCAACGTTTCATTCACATAGTTTTTCTCTAAGTTTTCATTTTTACTTGGTAAAATCAGTTTTTTTCTTTCTCATATTTTCCTTTCAAATTCTTGCTTCATCAGTGTTACCATAAACCATAAACATTATTGCAAACATTTTCTTTTCTCTGGGACAAAAAATGCTTTCATCTTTTTTCCCATGGATCATTTGACAAAAAGTGGTAGCACCAACAGCTATATTCACCATCCCACAGCAGAAAACACAGGAAGATGCCAGAAAGGAAAAGCTATAGCTACTGAAGTCTAGGGTTTGGGGCAAGGTACTAAGACCACCTTATATTTAATTATAAGCCCCAATTACCTTTGTCTGCTCGCTGTCTGGATCTTCAAGCCAAGCATAAGGGTCGTAAATTTTATGTCCATGATAATCCTGTACCTGCAAAAGACAAAATGTGGTTTTGGACAATTAGAGTCTAACCCCAATTAAATTAGTATTTTCTGAATGTAACAGAGGAAAAATAGGATAAGGATAGGCAAAATACTCCAATTGGCTCACTGGCAATGTGTCTGCCCAAATTACCACATGAACCAAAGCTGGCAGGTTCTCAAAGGTGTCAAGCCACCCATCATGAAAAGAATGTTTTAGCTGGAGAAGGAAGAAAGATGAAAGGTCAGAATAGGGAACTGCTCTGTCTGTACAACACAAAACAAAGGCCTGCCGCTGTGCTAAAGAAACTTGAAAATGTGTGGTCAGTGGCAAAGCACGGAATCACACAATGCACCAGGGATGCAAGAAGGGCATGTTTGTGAAGGAACCACCACGCACGTGCTGATTTGCTTCTTTTCTGTTCTTGCTGAGCTTACTAATGATGAGAAAATCTCCCTGCTATATATAACATGATTGGTTTTTGTCTTTAAGTCTAAACTGCCAAAAAGCAGGTTACCAACGTGCGGTAGAATGATTCCAGTTGATAGCAGCTTTAAAAAAGCTGACGTAAGTGCAATGAAAGAACATTTCTAAAACTGCAGCCTTTCTTCCCTTTTGTGTATTGTTACAAAATGCTTACAAAAAGAGGCACAGAGGCATCACCCATTCAGACTACCCTGGTATTTGAAGAAAGACAACTGCTTAGTGCAGCAGGGCCCAGCAGAGGGGAAGGCTTCAAGGAGCTCCCGCGGGCGGCTGAGCATCAGAGACACCTTCGAGCTCCTGAAAAGCCCAAATTCCTGGGCCTGGCCTCGGAAACTGACCCACACACTACAGGAGCAGTTGGGAGTCACCGCTTCCCAGGTGATTATGCCTAAAGAAAATTTCCAAAGGTAAAAATCATCACAAAATCTCTCCATTTCATACTATCCTGATTAATGTCACTGAAAGCATAGGGACATCTCTCCAGTAAATCTCTTCTGAGCAACTCCAACATTCCTGTTACAGTTTCTCATAGGTTTTTGGGAACAAGAATGCCAGGATCTCAGATGAATTTTTAATCTGTCTCCTTGCTTTGTCGATTACATCGAAAGGTAAGGGCTATTCCCTAATAGAGGCAAATAATCTCCCAGGAAAGGAAAATCTGTTGTTTCCCCAGCTGGTCTAAGTTCCAGTGTGGCTGCTGGCCAGTTTAAGAAGGACCTCTTGGTGCCTAAAACCCCAGGCTTTCTGCAAAGGGCCTTCATCTCTCCTTATCTGGTACCAGATGAGAGAACACCTGGAGAAATGCACACCTGAAAGAATGGTCAGTTAAGGCGGAACACTCAGAAACTGTTCTCATTAAACAACTGACAAATACAGGTGACATAAAACCAGACTAGAATCTCTCCTGACAAATCCTCATAAAATCACCAATTTTGAACCCTTAAGAAAATGCTCTCTAAATATTAGCTGATTGTGGGACGCCTGGGTGGCTCAGTCGGTTAAGCGTCTGACTTCGGCTCAGGTCATGATCTCGCTTGGTTTGTGGGTTTGAGCCCTGCGTCAGGCTCTGTGCTGACAGCTCAGAGCCTGGAGCCTGCTTTGGATTCTGTGTCTCCTGCTCTCTCTGCCCCTCCCCTGCTCACAGTCTCTCTCTTGCTCTCTCAAAAATAAATAAATGTTAAAAACAAAAAAAAATGTTAGGGGCACCTGGGTGGCTTAGTCGGTTGAGCATCTGACTTTGGCTCAGGTCATGATCTTGCTCGGTCTGTGGGTTTGAGCCCCAGGTTGGGCTCTGTGCTGACAGCTCAGAGCCTGGAGCCTCCTTCAGATTCTGTGTCTCCTCCTCTCTCTGCCCTTCCCATGCTCATGCTCTGCCTCTGTCTCTCAATAATAAACAAATGTTAAAAAATTTTTTTTTTAAAATGTTAGCTGACTGTTACCACTCAATGAAAATTTTGTATCTTTTCTAATCTGCAAGTCTTTCACATTTTACACACATTGAAGTGGTTTTAAATATGCTTAAAACAACCTTCTTTTCCTCTGACAATAAGAAAGCAGAAAAATTTAGAGTTGTAAAGGATCTTCCAGTCCAACATTTTTAGGAGCAACAGCAGGCTCAAGATGGCAACGTGCCTAGGGCCATACCGAGTTCAGAACCAGAGCCGGGACTAAAAGCACACTGCCAACAGCTTTTCCCCAAATATTCCTCAGAGGTGACACACCAGACACTTTAAAAATGTTCCTCGATCATGATGTTCCTAAAACTCAGACGTATCCATTAACTTGTCATAAGAAAGCAGAAAAGATTCACAGGAAATCACGTTAGTTTTGTCTAATACTAGATCCAAAGCAACGAACATTTGCTCACTATCCACACTATGGTGCCCAGTGTTGTAAAGCAACCTTGTGAGAGGGTGGATGATATTCCTATTTTTCAGATTATGGAATGCAACTCGGAGAGGTTACCAGGAGAGAGTGAAGGCTGCAGATTTACGGCTCACTTGGAGAGAGCCGTGCCATAGACTTCAGCCATGGTACGTCACTGTGAAGCTATTACCAACTCATTTTCCAGGTGAGGAAACTAAAGCTGGAGAGAGCTAAAGCAACTGTCAAAAGTCAGGTGGCTAATAAACAGTAGAACCCGTGACCCTCTTTGAGCTAACCCCAAAGCCTGTGGGGCTTGCTACTGAACTACAACGGGTGTAAACTGGCAGGCCCACACCTGGACCCTAACTCAGAACCTCCCGAACGGTGTGTATGGTCAGGAAACTGCTCCATCTTCCCAGAACCAGCATTACCATCTGAAGCCAATTAAGGGCAGGTGTTCAGGCATTTTTTTAAACAGCACAGGAAACTGATTCTCTCCAGGGCAATCCCACAGGCAATCCCAGGAGCCTCGTGCCACCACCCTACTCCCCTGCCCCCCCTACTTTTTCTTCTACAAGACCGTACCCTACAGATGGGGTGGTCTCGTAGCCATATCCCCTGAACTCAAGTTGGGCAGTACGTGGTTCTCCTTATGATTTAAGTTTGCCAGCCATTCCTCATCTCCCCAAAAGACTTTAAAAATACAGCCCTGATAAGGCACTGTTAGCATTCAATATTTTACTTGTACCATTCAATAGCTCACCTGCTGACTTCAGGATAAACCGCAGAGTCCTACACAAAGTAGGCAGAGCCCATCAAACCTGGCCCCGCTTTTTTTTTTTTTTCTTTCCACCCCCCACCCAAGCTTATCCACCCATGGATGGTCACAACAGCCTTACTGCCATCCTGCAAACAGTGCAAGTCCACGAACATCCAGCCCTACATGACCATGATTTATTTTGGTCACACAGCCAGGAATGTCCTTTCTACCTTATCCAACTGGCCAACTTCCAGGCTCAATTCGCATATGATCTCTTCCCCCTGATGGAAATTAATCCCATTCTCCTCTGTGTTCTCCACTCACCCTACACACTCTTCTAACCCCTACAGCAGGCCTGAATTTCCTGACAGCACATGCTGCCAGTACAGACAATGGCACTGCATTGGAAGCATCATGGTTTCCAAGTTTCTGCTCATTAGGGCGGAAATTCACCAAAAACGGTTGTATGCTCCAACCCCACAGGTCAACAGAAGACTGCCTGATATTCGGCTGAAAATGTTTAAGTGACAGAGAGGGAGCTACAGCAATCTCTAACACCGGCTGGAGAGAGACAAACCCAACCTAGAAAAGAAGGCGACAATTTCAGCCAATGCCTAAATCTAGCCTAAGGTTTTAGTCATCAGGACCCTGTCACAGTAAAAAGATACTTACTCCATGTAGGCTATCGGGGCTGGGATACGTACACCGTGGGATCCACAGAGTAGGGTCCAAGCCAGACCTGAGCTATATTCCCTTGGCCATGAGGCTTAGGGTTTTCGTGAGTTCTCCGATGAGAAGAAACTGTAGGATCTCAAAATCTGTGGAACCTTTTGAGTTAATTGTTCGTAATCTTTTGGACGTCTTCATAAAAGCCTCACTTAACCCTTTCAAGAATGGCAGGATTTTGATAACCCAAATAGGGAAAAACTAAGCAAGAAGCAATCCCAACTAAAAACACAACTAAAATGACACTTATCAAGTCACACAAACGATAGTTCTTTCTACTTTTAATCTATCCTGAAAACTCAAAGATCCTTAAGAACCGAACTGACATAGTCACAGGTCTTCTGATTACTGAAGTCTGGCACACTGCAGGGCCAGACTGTCATGGGAATAAATGAATGATGACAGTCTTACTGCAAAAGTCAGTCCTAAGCCCTGTGGTTGGCCAAGCCAGTACTAACATTTCATATATGAGAAAGAAGGCCCATAACAGGTAAGCGATCTGCCCAAAGGCATCCAGCTAGTGAGTGACAAAACCAGCACTAGCACTCAGGTCTTCTTACTTGGTCTGCCCTCTTTTCCATTCCAGCAGGATCACTTTACTCCCATACACAAAGGGAACAACCCTTTGAAACACAGGAATACAGCTTCTTGGGCTGTTAAAGTAAATTTAATAAGCAAGCAGTTGAATAGACTGAGAAAACATGGTTACCAGATGGCCACTGGTCAAAGAAACCATGAATGCATCAGTGCCACTTGGAAGTCTTAATTTAAAACAATATGTCCTTTACTTTAAAGCCTCAGTACCTTTTAACCCAAAGTGAAAGGTGCTGTGAAGTACAGACGTTCTGGCATAAATCAGGTCAGAGGAAGCAGAAAAACAACACAACCACCACCACAGATCTATATATACAAAAAATTTTTATTCTGATTCTATTTTAAGTAATCTGAGATATTTGGCTATTCCTCAGAGAATCAAGCCCACATTTGGATTCATTCCAGTTCTTAAGATGCCAAATTGATTTTTACACAAAAAGAGTGTTTGCCCAGATTTCCACCCACTAGATCTCAACAGTTACCCTGAGCTAATCCACAGCTTATGTAAATGATGGCTAACCCTTCCACTAAGCCAAACAAACTCATTCTGAAAAAGGCCATCCCCTCTCCCTTCTAAAGCCCTCCTCTCACCCGCATCAACTCCTTCTCTTGTTTAGGAAAACTTGGATCAGCACTGCAACACTACGGGGTCACCGCTCCACCCTCCCCATTCCACGGTCTTGTGTCTGCAACCCCCGCACCACACGCCCGGTACCCGGCCCGGGGCACGGCAGGCGCTCGAAGCACGTTTTAATACCGAATGAATGAACTTCAAGGATTTTAAATTTGGAAGTTTAAAAAGTTTGCCTTTGTTTTTGAATTTTACATCATCTACATACATCCACACTTTCTCCTACCACCATATTTAAGCAAGAGCCTCCTCCAGTCAAAAAACAGTGACACGTTCTGTCTTCCCAATCCCGTCAAACGCCCATTCCTACTTGGGTGTCTGCCCTTGACCCCATTGATTTTTAGGAGGCGGCCAAGCGGCGACTGGCCTCGGGCTCTGCCGCCTCTAGGCGGCCAGTGACGGCCACCATGGCCCCCGCGGCTCGGGAGGAGCCCGGCGCCCCCGGCCCGTATCTCGCAAACAAAGGCCGAGGGGAGGAAGGACGCAGGGGGCGAGGGGCTGCGGGGAGAGGGGCCGCGGGCGGCGGCACACGCGGCGCCCGCGGCGGGCGAGAGCTGGGGTACTCACGGCGGTCTCGTCGCGATACACGTCGGGGTACTGGAAGGACAACATGGCCAGGGCGGGCGATGGGGGCAGCGTGGGGAGGCACAGACTTCTGGGCGCGAGCCGGAGGAAGCTGGCCGCGGGAGCTGGGAGCGCGGGCAGGGGCCGAGCGGGCGGCGGCGGCTGCGCGGGCGCTCTCGGCCAGACTCTCGACCAGCGGCAAAGCGCAAGCGCAGAGGACGCGCTGGAAGCAGGAAGCAACTGCTCAGCGAGGCCGGGGAGGCCCCTCCCCTGGCGGGACGGCACCACAGCGGCGGCTGCGGCCGAGGAGCGGCGGCGCACCGTGCGTGCGCCGGGCGGGCGCACACTCCCTCTGCAGGGAGCGCCGGCCCGCGCCACCAGGCTTACCTGAACCACCACCGAGGCCGATCGCAGCCACGCCGGCCCGCCCGCCCCGGGCTACCCGGCCCGGCACCCGCCGGAGACGGACCCGCGCGGGCCGGGGACACCCGCGCGGGGTACACGTCCGGTCTCGCCGGCCGGGGCCACCACGCCTCCGCCCTCCCCTTCCCGAAGTCCCTCGCTGTCAGTTTAGCCATTGCTGAGCTTGAGAGCGAACAGGCGGGTTTGCTTATTAATCGATTCCCCCATCTTCCTGTTCCCGGGCGTGGTGGGGAGGCAGAGAGAGACCTTGGCTCTCTCCAGCCTTAAGAGCAGTGGGCTTGAGGTGGCCTAATTTTTACTGGCTGCGACTCTGGACTTGGAAGGGAAGGGATAATGGATCATGATAACCATGAAGGAACCACATCTCCCTTCACTCCAAGTCTCTGGTGGGCACTGGGTGGTGGGGCATCCAGATTTTAGAGGTGCGCTGAGGTGTTGGTAGGACGATGGGTAAGCCCTTATCTGAGATTTACCAATGAAGAGAGGACCCAAGTGGGAGCATCGGGGTCTTTTGTTCATCCTGCCAGTTCCTTAATTCTGTTCTTGCCAATGTGTTTGTTTATTGAGCACCTACTGTTGTCCCTGTGGGGGAAACAGTAGTCGACAAGGTGCTTGACCTCAAAGTCATGACATTGTAATAGTTCTAATTCTTTTTCCTTAGGTTAGTGATATGTGTTCTGGTCTTGCTTTCTGGACCATCAGGAAGAAGCTTTATAGCCCCAAATCTTCACAGCTGTGGTGTGTGTTCCATGTGTTATGTACTCCTGGCTTCTTAGAAGTCATGGGAGGATGGCATGGGTATGACCACAAAGCCCTTCCAGTCCTGAATTCCACATGTATATGGTAATGGTTGTAAACTCATGTGTTCTGTTTCTTTTGTATTATCACCCCAGTTCCGTGGCTCACACATCATAGTTCAATTTCTCTTCATGGCAGGGTAATTGATAAACATGTCTTGCATTGGTTTCCCAAACCCCCTCCTTGGGCAACCTGAGAATCTTCAGTTTTGGGAAAGCTCACAGTTGGGGCCAAACTCAGTGCAAACAGACACAGACAGTAGTGCTCTGCAGTCCAGCATTCCTGATCCCAGTTACCACCCCCTGCCTTGCCTGCCTGTCACCTGGCCTAGGGACTGCCAGGCATTTCCCAATGCTTCTGCCACTTGTGTGTTTGGGGGGGTGGGGGGAGTGGGGGGAGGATTTTAAGAGCAGCCCAGGAGCACATGACCCAGCAGATCCCCTAGTAATAACGACAGCAATAGTAGTTAATGCTTACTCAGTGCTTCTTATATGCCAGGAAATTATCTTATTTAAACCTTAGAAGATAACTAATATTATCCCAATTTTAAGTTTTATTTATTTTTTTGTTTTGAGAGAGACGGAAACAGCGCGAGTGGGAAAGGGGCAGAGAGAGAGAGAGTGAGAGAGAGAATCCTAAGCAGGCTCCACGCTACCCACACAGAGCCTGATGTGGGCCTTGAACTCACAAAACCACAAGATCATGACCTGAGACAAAACCAAGAGTCAGACACTCAACTGACTGAGCCACCCAGGTGCCCAGTTTTATAGTTGGGGAAAACAGGGGCTGACTTTTGCCCAGAACTTCACAAATATTTATTAAAAAAAAAAAAAAAATAGAGCCAGGATTCAAACCAAGATCTCTCTGATGCCAACACTCAGTCTTAATCACTCTTTTTTTTAAAAAAATGTTTATTTATTTATTTTTGAGAGAGTGAGAGAGAGCCCAAGTGGGGAGGGGCAGAGAGAGATGGAGACAGAGAATCCCAAGCAGGCATCTTCACTGTCAGCAAAGAGCGTGACCCAGGGCTCACTCCATCCCACAAGTTGTAAGATCATGACCTGAGCTGAAATCAAGAGTTGGATGCTTAACCCACTGAGACACCCAGGTGCCCTTTAATTACTCTTCTTCATGAATAAATAGGAGTACTCCATGGTCTACAAGGATACCCATAAATAGGTGACATTTTCCCAGCGCTTAATTTTAGCAGGCAAGGTAGAAATGATGAGAATTGTGGTGCCCAGAGGACAAATCAAACCTCAGGTGTTATCCTCCGTTCATCTCTAGGCAGTTATCCTAGTGCCCAGCTCCTCCAGGTCCTGAAAGGCAAAGGTCTGTATGTGGCACAGACAGTGCAATGTGCTGCCAGCAATAGATTGTCTGCGACTGCAGCGAGCGAAGTGGAGATGAAGACCCATTCCCCTCTTTGTGGCCAGATTGCTTGTACACTACCTACCTTTGCCACCTGTTAGATATGAGCTGTCTGCTTTAATCCTCCCTTAAAAAGCCCATTTTACAGATGAGGAAACGGAATCTCAGCGGCTTTAAAGGAATTTGTCTGAAGTCCTCACACAGCTAAGACAGCCAAGGTTCAAATTCGTCAGTTGACTGCAAAGCCCATGCTCTACCTTGCCCACAGGAAGTGAAGAGAAGGGAAATATTTGAACCGTCGCAGAAATGGAAATTCTACCCCCAGAATAAACACCAGAGTGCTCTTTGACTTCTAACATCGCACACTATTTCCAGGAGAATTCTAAATTAACTCTGTAAAAACTCGTGCTCTAACCTACAACCATTCCCCAAACACAAGGCCCCTGGGGGCAAAGGGATAGCAGAGACATAGAAGGACCTCCAGGGAAGCCCGCAGCCTGTCCTCTATTGCCTGACCTCCAACTTTGTACCCCACTCTGTTAACCAGAGTCACCATAGTAAGGAGGCAGGTTAGCGATATTTACTACCGCTTGCCTGTCTCAAACCCACTCCAAGTACTTGTCGCAGCATCCCTCCCAACCACACATAGTACCCTCCAAGAGAGGATTTCTGGTAATTAGCCAAGGGGGTAAGTGTTGGCTGAAATCCATCTTTCTCTCTACTTGCCACACTGTGCACAGGGGCACTGGCTGCCTTCAGCTGGAAAAAGGGGTGCCCATATTCTCACAAAGGTCCACTGACAAGAGGCTGCATCTACCCAGGGGAAACAGTTCTAACTCATGCAAGAGTGCCATCTTGTTAGCACTCCTTAAGCCTGATGCCTTGGGTGCTCGCCTGGAGAATCCTTTCATTTGACTGCGGTTTCCAGGTAGCTAGCTAACCTACTGATTGGTGGGATGCAGTCATTTCCAGCTACATTTCCTTTAAGATGTGTATAATTTTTTCCAGTATGATTTCTAATGAAAATTCTGATATACTCCTGTATATCTAATCTCTGCAAGGCATCATGAGGTGTGAAACAGCATCTAGAATAAGAGTGAGGTTCTCTTCCCGGCCCTGCCACTATTTCCCTGGCTTTGAATGAGTCCTTACATCATTGGTTTGTTTGTTTTTTTTAAAAGATTGAATAATCTCTGCACCGAACATGAGACTCACATTTACAACCCTGAGATCAAGAGTCTCATTCTCTACCCACTGAGCCAGCCAGGCACGCCATATCGTCAGTATTTTTTCTCTATACCATGAAAGAATTGGATCAGATGGTGTCCAAGTTTCTTTTGTTCAGGAAGAAATAAAGTAGAGATGTAGGAGCCTCAAAACTATCTCTGGAATTCAAAATGAAATTGCCCTGGGAGAGTGCTATCCATACGTCCTGGGCCGATGGAGGGGAGGGTGGGCAGTAATTATCTACTAAAAGGGCTTTCTCCATAGTTTTCTTCTGTTTTGAAACCATCCACGAGCACAGATTTGGCTCCGAGGCCATGGCTGGGTCTGTGGTACTTACTCAGTTCATAGATTTTATCTTCCCAGGAACTGTAGCTGTTCCCTTCTAATACCCTTCTCTTGATAGAGGCATGTGGTTAAAAAGCTAGGGGAGGTGTCTGGCACTACAGCTGTGAAATCTAAGGTCTCCTCCCCTTCTCAACTTAATGTCCAACTGAGTTAAGCCCCAGAATGAGAGGCTAAGGCTGAATTAAATCCAGGCTAAGAAAGAAAAAAAAAAAACCCTGGGGCATAAAAAGTGGATCAAGAATTAATCTGGGGGCGCCTGGGTGGCTCAGTCGGTTGAGTGACCGACTTCGGCTCAGGTCATGATCTCGCGGTCCGTGAGTTCGAGCCCCGCATCGGGCTCTGTGCTGACAGCTCAGAGCCTGGAGCCTGCTTCTGATTCTGTGTCTCCCTCTCTCTCTGTCCCTCCCACACTCATGCTCTGTCTCTCTGTCTCAGAAATAAATAAACATTAAAAAATTAAAAAAAAATAAAAAAGAATTAATCTGGAGTATTTTTCTACTTTAGTTTGTAGAATTTATTTATACCATTTCTAACGAGACTCCCAAGTTAGGAGTGTTTCCAAATCAGGAGACAGGGATCTTTTTTCCTCTTCTATTATTAGAAAAAAAATCAGGGGTGCCCCCACATGTAAAATGAAGTTATTTTATTTACGTAAGGAAAGATGAAATAATCCATTCATTGGTTTAACTTTAGAACTTAAAACTATTCAGCAAATGCAATATGCAATACTCAAAATGTGTCAGTTCAAAATTATTGGCTATAAGAACAGAAAGGAGATTAAGAAAGAACAGGAAGGGGAAAAAATGATATATATAAAGCAGGAAAGAGACACAGCATCCCAGATTTGTTAATATTAAGAAAGGTGAAGATAAGCATAAAAAGAT